AACTATGGTTATGTCTGTCCATGTGTTGTGAGATTAAGGAGATTAAGGGCTTACGCATTACTGCCTGAGGCAGTTTCTATGTATCCCAGTGGAGCTGTCTCCCAGCTCTTTTCAGATGGGTATTTGAACCAGCTCAGATGGCAGCAGCATTTGACTGACCTTGAAAAAGCTAAGCAAGTTCAGACCTGGATATTAATTGGATGAGAGACTAGGAAATCCCAGGGCTGTAGAAAGGAAGGCAGTGACTGCCCAATGACTTTTCAGTAGTAATCCTACATAGACTTGCCTGCGAAGTCACTAGGAGTCAAAAACTGAACTTGAGAGTCTTTCCGTTTTTTAGGCACCTCCTTTGATGCTCAGAGCTTCTGCACCACTGCTGAGCTCTTGCCTTTCTCTTCCTGATGGCCATTGCCTCTGAATTCTCCCGTCTTTCCGCCTCTAGGAAGCAAAAGCCAAACAAGAGAAATTGTCTGCTCAGTACCTGAATGATATTGAGATGGCCAAAGCCCAGCGGGATTACGAGCTGAAGAAGGCTGCTTATGACATCGAGGTGAACACGCGGAAAGCAGAATCTGACTTGGCCTATCAGCTCCAGGTGAGGCTCCCATTGAACAGGCCATCAAGGGGATTGGCAGATGGCATGGAATAGGTTGTGGCCTATTTCATTCTCAAATGAAACATGCACTGAAAAATGTTTGTGGTGCCTGCCTCTGGGTCTGGCCACATCCTTCATGTGGAGCATAAGCATCAGCTCTACATTTCCCAGACGTTGACATTTTGAGCCATGAAGGAGCTTCACTAGGGAGTTTTGGAGCCTTTCAGGGTGTTTTCTGTGTCTTTGTTGCAGGTGGCCAAGACCAAGCAGAAAATCGAAGAGCAAAAGATGCAGGTATTGGTGGTGGAGCGAGCCCAGCAGATTCAGATCCAGGAGCAGGAGATGACCCGGAAGGAACGTGAGCTGGAGGCCAAGGTCAAGAAACCGGCTGAAGCAGAGCGTTACCGGTTGGAGAAATTAGCTGAGGCTGAAAGGCACGGGCACAGACTCCCCTTTTCCTTCCTATACAAAGTCTGCTGTTATGGCTTCTGATTTATTCAGCACGGAAGAGCAGTTTTCAGAGGGGGAACTGATGCTGGGCTATACCACTTTAGGCTAAAACTAGAGTGGTAAATTATGGAACGCTTTTCCACCAAAATAACACTCCCCACTCAAGTGCGGCGTGTAATCTGAAAGGGTAGAATCCGAAAAATCTCAATACAAGGTGTTAATTTATCTGGGCTTTACAGAGAGCTGATCTGTGGCAAAACCATCCATGGACTGTACCAATTGAGATTTCGTTTAAGGATGGTTTGGGTAGCTAAACCCTGATTTTTAGTCACACACCTCAGGATTCCTGCACAGCAACCCAGCGTGTCAGGAAGACAGCTACAACAGCATTGTACTTTTTTTAACTTCAAAGATATCTAACTTCCATCCTTCAGAGCACTATTCAGTCCCGTTGTATAAGCAGCAACCCATAAACTTTGCTGTTTTGTGCAGACCAGCCCCCCGGTGTTATCTCCAGGCATACAATCCTCTTCAGTTCCCTTCAACTAACTCTCCAGCTGAAAACCAGGGATGGTTTGCATGCTGGGCCTAGAATATGATTTCTAATAAGTTTGTTTTCTTGCTCCAGCTTTGTCACCTCAAGCCACTCTCGGAGCCCCGTCGCTTCCTGGTCTTCCCCTCCATTTCGAGAGGCCCAAAGTGGTCTGTGAATATTGGGAGCTGGGCACAGGGATGACCATGTCCTTATTGTCTTCTCAAACAGGACACAGCTCATCATGCAGGCGGAGGCAGAGGCGGAGGCAATCAGGGTGAGCAGTTCTGGTTCTCTGGCTTGTGGGGCAAACTGCAGGGAGGGGTGAATGGGGAGCATTCCAGCTTACCCTGAAACCCCATTTTTGGTTTTAGGTGAAGGGTGAGGCTCAGGCGTTCGCAATCGAGGCCAAGGCCCGGGCTGATGCTGAGCAGATGTCTAAGAAGGCAGAAGCTTTTAGGCAGTACCAAGAGGTAGCCATGGTGGACATGCTTTTGGAGAAACTTCCAGAGGTAAACACGTCCTCTCGTAATCCCAAGGGGAAAGGAAGGCGATGAAGGCTTTGGCATAAAACAGGGGTGCTGTCCAAGGAAGAAGGCATCTGAACAAGATCACTCCCAGTATGTCAGAATGCTGTCACCTTTCATTTAGTTATTTATTCGACTTACGTAGCCGCCCATCTCACGTACATTGGTCTAGGTCCCTTATGGTGAAATACATTAAACAGACAAAATACCTGACATAAAAATAAAAACACATAGCAGCTGAGCATCATAAAATGACCGTCAACAGAGCCGAGAGATGGGCTCTGTCACATCCCCAGGGCCGGGCACAAAGCCAAGTTTTTAGGGCCTTGCGAAATGCCAGCATGGTCAAAGCTAACCTGATCCCAGAAGGAATCTCAGGTGTTCCAGAGAGGGCACCACAGCAGAAAAAGCTTTCCCCCTGGGCCCTGCCAGCCAACACTCCTTAGCTGATGGCATCCAGAGCATGCCCCTCCTGCCAGACTGCCTGGGATGGGTAGAAACAATTTGCAACCAGTAATGGTATTTGCCCCCAACGAAAAGACTCTTCTCATTTAAAATGACAATCCCAGGAAGTGGATTCACAAATTCTGTGCCAAAGTCAGAAGGAATTGGTGTTGAGAATAAACTCCATAAATATATGTTTGCTTTTGGGTTCCTAGAGAAAGTTTTTGGAAACCTCACTTTCCAGGTTTTTTTTTTTTTGTAATCTATCGTTTACTACCTTCATAACAGTCACCTTTTCTCATCTTTATGTAATTTGGCAAAAACTGGTTGATTTAGATGTGGCCTTGGGCCCTTTGAAGATACCCCTGATCTAAATGGTCCCTTTGAAGTTGATGATAATTGTTTGCCTTGATATACCATTTTGCCCTGGAAAAGTCTTATATGAGAATTTCCCCTAATTTTTTCCACTGCAACAACCCTGTGAGGTGTGTTGGACAGAGAAAAGGCAACTAGCCCAAAGTCATCCCGTGCTCTCCTGATCAAGCAGGGCTTTGAACTGTAATCTCTATCCAAGTTTGCTATCTTAATCATTAGACTGCACTCTTTTCGCCTTCCCTTCACAGATGGCTGAAGAGATCACCAAACCGTTAACTTCCGTGAATAAAATCACCATGGTGTCAAGCGGGAACGGGGATGTGGGTGCAGCGAAGATGACTGGGGAAGTGCTGGAAATCATGAATAAGCTGCCTGACACTGTTGAGAAACTGACCGGTGTTAGCATCTCTCAGGTATCACTTAAGGATTGCTCAGCTATGGGGAGGAAGTGGTGGGAGTGGGACAAATATAAGCCCTTCTCAGTGCCAACTAGCCAGAGTAAGTATATAGTTTTCTATCCTGACTTCCGCTCCATATTTAGTGCAGTAGTGGACTGAGTAGAACCTGAAATCTAGGTTCTGTGGAAGGAGGAAAAATAATTGGTTGGAGACAAAGTAGGAGCTCCTTAATTATCCAAAGAGAAAGTACAGCTCTAGTGATGAGCAACTCTTCGTTGTTGTTCCTCTGGTTAATCTTCTGGAAGTAGATAGCCTAAGATACCTTTAATTATTGGGTTTCCTAGGGATGGTGGGAGTTGTAGTTTTTCAACATCTGGAGCACCACAGATTGCCTATTCATGTGCAGAACATCTATATTCTAGCACCTGTTCCATCTAAATCAACCTTGCCCAATCAGAGCACCCTCCAGATGTGAGTCCTTTAATTTCCAGAATTCCCCAGACAGTATGAGTGTTATTGAGAATTCTGGGAGATGGAGAAACACATCAAATGCATATTCCAGTTGGGAAAGGCTCCATGTTCATGGAGGTGATGACTGAACTTTAATTTTGTGGGGGGGGGGTCTCACCAGCAGATAAATCAGAAGAAACCAGGACGGATGAACTGACAGCTCAGAAGGACAAGGGAAAGTCTTCTTGAGCGTGAACACCCATGATCCTCATCAGTATGGGTCCATATATAGAGTTCTTCCCATTCAGTGCCCTCTTGTGAATGCCAAACCTTTATTATGGACAAAACTTGCATGTTGATCAGTATCCAAAACTGCTGAGGTCTTGTCACTCTGCTATACAACTGTGATAGCTGGTGATGCCGCAATGTGAATCTGGCAGTATATTGACTTCCGCCATCACTTGTAAAACAGGATCCCATTGCTCCTTTCCTTGATGTTGTTTTGCTGCCTGGGGTCAGCTGGGCACTGGATACTTCTTCCCCAAAGTAATCTCTCCTTGAGGATCTGATGATGGCTCTGCTTCTAAAACAGCTGGGAGGGATGTAGGAATGGAGTAAGGATGAAGGTTGAGTCCAAGACCTGTTTTTAAGGCTGGCTGGCTGGCTGCTTTGCTTCTAACAGGCTGAGGTTATTTAGGATTTTATTCAGTAGTTTCCATAAAGAATTGTCACCTATGTACAGGGAGGGACTCAGTTTTGCAGTCCTTATTCAACCTAATGATATGTAGGGATCCTAGTTCTGTATAGCTAACGCTTCCAGCTTGCATCTTCTCTAGTTGTGCCATAGTGTTTGGTGCTACATATAGCTAAGATTACTCATCTTAGCAGATTTCTTCCTCTTTGGCGTTTGCCTTTTTCTCCTGCCCTCTCCCCACCCCCACTCCCCCAGTTCTTAATCTCACTTTTTGGGGGAGCATGCGTCCATCACAGCTTTCCTGTGTTAAATCACAAAGGTCTCCCTACCAAAGAGACAGTCCACGTGGTCCAGAGGCAGGAGACCCCTACAGGATGAATGTTCCGGTGGGCATGTCTCCTGCATGCATGTTCACCTCCTCTTAGAATCAGCATCTGAATGTGCCTTATATCTGTTTTAACTGATGGAGCAATCATACGTCGTCATTTCCCTGGAAGGGAAAATATGAAGAGTCCTCTCTTTCACTGCCTAGTTGTTACCTCTTCTCCAAATTTTGAACTCTCCCCGAAACCTTTCAGTTCTGTCCTCTGATTGCTGATGCTCTCATCTTTGCTCATTGTCCCAAACTATGACAGGGACCATCTGCTCACATCCTCATGCAGCACACTTGGTCAGATTGTAGCCCTTCTGCAATGGCTTAAATGTCACCCTTTCAGTGCTTCTGAATTCACATATGTCGGGTTTTGTCTGCTTGTTGCGTGTTGTGGCCTCAGCATGGTGCCTTTCCTATGTTCTACTAAAGAGAAGGACATACTCTGCTTTTCTTGATGCTACTGAGATCCTTGACCTAGAATAAACTCCAAGATTACTGCCTGTTGTGGCCCTTCTGTGTGTCCATTTCTACTCCTTTCCTGGTCTACATTTTCACAATCTGATATCTGAACTTAGGAAATACTTGCTATGAGTATAGAAAATACGTGGAGCAAATTGCATTTCTTCATACAGTGGGGCAAAAAAGTATTTAGTCAACCACCAATTGTGCAAGTTCTCCCACTTAAAAAGATGAGAGAGGCCTGTAATTTTCATCATAGGTAGGGAGATTATCAGTGGTCTTGTATGTCTTCCATTGGGAGATTATCAGTGGTCTTGTATGTCTTCCATTGGGAGATTATCAGTGGTCTTGTATGTCTTCCATTGGGAGATTATCAGTGGTCTTGTATGTCTTCCATTGGGAGATTATCAGTGGTCTTGTATGTCTTCCATTGGGAGATTATCAGTGGTCTTGTATGTCTTCCATTATCCAGAAGAGGATTGGGAGAATGTCATATGGTCAGATGAAACCAAAGTAGAATGTTTTGGTCTAAACTCGTGTTTGGAGGAGAGAGAATGCTGAGTTGCATCCAAAGAACACCATACTTACTGTGAAGCACGGGGGTGGAAACATCATGCTTTGGGGCTGTTTTCCTGCAAAGGGACCAGGAAGACTGCTCTGTGTAAAGGAAAGAATGAATGGGGCCATGTATCGTGAGATTTTGAGTGAACA